TTTCAAAAGTTATGACAACTAATGAAAATGTTTTACAACTTTGAAAACGAGTGTTTGGTTATTAAAAAGGCATTAAATAAATAAGCGCGTTAATTAAAGCACATAATAGTAGAGTAGCCTTGAGCAGAATCGTGGCAAATATTTACATAGAAAGTAAAGAACGCGCGTGCGCCTTACAAGGACGGCGTCTGTTCTTTACACACAAGTCTATTTAACCACAGAACATATCGGGAGAGGTGTAGATCTTTTTTTGCCTAAACGTTGCCCCCCATCTACAAAGTTACTTACCGCAAAATCTCTTGCTTTGGAATTAAAATGTCACTACAATTTTGTATATCTTTGAAGGTCTTCGGAGGACTTTGGCAGGACTTGGATTTGACCCCGGTACATTCCAGTTTGTTTACAAATTTCGATCATTTTACATATTGATAACTCAATGAATTTCAAAAATACTAAAATCCAAGAACTCAGCAAAACTGGATAACTCGACTAATTTCGATAAATTTTGATAATTGTGCATTTCTAGGGCTCGAAAATTTCCGATAGCTCAAAAATGTACATAGATATAAATTGATAAATTTTAAATACCTCTATAAAATTTTATATGAAAAAAAGTTAAAAAACAGCATCAAAAATCTCATCATTACGATTCCGTTCAAAATTTTTTAAAAATATTTTTATGCAAATATTTTAAGCTTAAACCATTTTGTCATTTGAGGGGATTTTTTCAAAAAAAATCTTTAAGAAACTATTTTTATTCATAAAAATCTCCATTTTTTGGAGGTATTTTCAAATCGGTCCAGCTCACTTAAATCTTAATATTTTTCCGAAATATTTTGGTGGGCGTGTTAAAATATAATAGATTTTATAATTCCAATGGAAAAATAGTACCGATTTTTTTTTGTATGCGGAGTGATGCAGTCTAATGTACATAGATATATTTATTTATAAAATATATATTGGACCAAAAAGTAGTGGGTACGCACTGTGGCCAAAGGTAGTCACGCAGAGCCCGCAAAAAATGCCGGAAGCATTGTCGCAGTTAAGAAAGTTTTATTATATGGCAATTGAGAAGTGCATCTGCAAAAATTTCATAAATTATTACGTAATGGAAATTGCACATACAGCAGTGCATAGCATGCATTTAGGCGCGTCGTGTTAATAGTTGCGCCCAAGCGAGGAGTGTTATGTATATTGGACCAAGTTTCATTCATCTGTTGTCAAATTTAGATTGAAAAATGCCAGTTTTATGCTAAAATATTTGGTTCTGGCTAAACATTGCGGTGCTCATAAATAGATTTGTGCTCGATACATTTAATATTACGCGTACTATTTTATATCAAATCAAATCGATTCGATTAATTTGCAATATTACTTACACGTATGTATGTATGTATGTATGCGTGTGCACATGTAAATAGGTGTTAATTTCATATTTAAATAGCTGAGAAATTACCAACTAATTCATTTGCGCGCACATTCGTTCCGCGGCTACTAAACTTTGAAGTTGATTAATTAACCGAAGTTAATTAAGTGAGCGTTACACCTACTGATAGTGAGTAGAGTTAGGCATGCTGTTGAAGCCACTACATAGCCCAAACCGCATTTTATGCACACAGCATCACGTGTCAGACTGCTGCCTACATATGTATGTAAATACAATCAGAGAATTCACAAAAGCGTCTTTGCATAATCGAACGCATACAAACATATCCGTAAATGAGCTTGGCATATATTTATTAGGTCAATTTGTATTAACTTGGACACATAAGCCATCCAATAGCCGCTCAAATACATACCTCTGTTTACAGTTTAGAGCTACTTACATACATATATACATACATACATATGTATCTGTTCTGAACCATTCACTCCAATTCTCTAACTGAACATTACACTGAATAATATGCATATGAAGCGCGTTATCGTCAAGTAGGCATTCAAACTAATTGAACATTAGCATATGCGTCTTACGCTCTTTGTGAATATGGGCAACACTTGCTGACCCAATCCTCCTGATGTACTGTAATTAGTTGAATTTTGAGCTGATATTGTATTGGTGTGGTTCTTGTTGTTATTATGCATCGGCAACTATTACAAATACGTTTGTATTTAGGTATTTACATACATACAAGAAGTTGTTGTTGTCATACTGGGTGTGGCAGGTGAGAGGCTAATTAATTGCTTGATTTCGTAAACATCCACACATACATACAAAGATAGGCATATAGGTACATACATATGTATCTAATTGAAAGCCATAAACTGTGCATAATGTATAGTGCCTTCATCGTGGATAACGTTAAATGGATAGACTGCTCCCACATTGCAAGGGTTACAGCTAAAAGAAAGTACGTGCGCTTCGTAAGGTATGCCTACTTAGGATAATGGTCCATTGTGGTACCAGCAAAGCACTGCAGGGTAGGCTTCTGCTGTCAAATATTGACAGTTCTTCAGAGCTGTTGAGAAAGTGCGAAAGTTAAAAAAAAAAAAATGGATCGCCATTTTGGATCCGCCATTTTGAATTTTGAAAAACTGACTTCAGATTCCTTATTAGCAACCCCAGAAACCCCCTAGTAGCAAGTTACATAAGCGTGTTTATAAAAAACCGACCAGCGCGACCTCTAAGAAAACTTTATTTTTCAAAGTAAAAAAACACATTTCTCTTTTTTTATCACAAATAACAATAATTTGAGGTAGCGTTTATGAATTTCCAAAAAAAAAAAATTGTTTAATCACTCTAGTACGTTATTAAGGTAACATGAATGCTACTTTTTTACTACTGAAATATATATTTTCAATTCTTTGGGAATTTTGTGGGATACATTTTTAAGATGTGGGTAAATGAGGAATTTTTTTCCGATTTTCATGGGTAATTTAACAGAGAATATCTGGCAGTTTAAATTGATAGTTGCGGCCTTGAGAGCATAATAATCTCCTTTTGCTGTCTAAAGCCCACCGCGATCCAGAAAAGCCTCGTGATTGCGTATTCCATGATTTTCGTCAAACGCAATGTTATTTTCTGTAAACAACAGTATGGGAGAAATCAACGAAAATGCACTCTGAGAGCGAAGCTCCAATTTGTCCTTATGGTACAATAATATCTTCTCTAAATAAGCTGGCCGCGATTGTTCGCTTGAGTGCTATTTCGATCTCCGCGAGCATGAGGGCATCGCTGTAAAGTTCACAATATGGAAACCATTGGTAGATTAACCAAGAAACACATGAAAACTGAGGCTCTTCTTTCAAAGTGCCTGTACAAATGCGGTGGCAAGTGTAACTACAGTGCATTCTTTATAGGGACACACCAAAAAGCCGGGAGCCACACATTCAATTACTTCCGTTTTGACTTCAGAGATAAGTAGGACGGGGAAAACATTGACAAATATCTCTGGCCCTTCCTTTCTCTCGCAAAAATACGAATTCAAATCTTAAAATTGTTTCATAGTGTACCTGTTTTAGAATCCCTGGGAATATGTGATCTTTAACGATTCGTTAAGACCCCACAATAGCTCGCGCTATTAGTATTCGATCTACTGTATCCCACTTACTCATTCCTTTATTGAGACTGTATAAAGTTTATAAAGATATCTGCGTGGCAGATCGTTCTATCTCGGCAACCGGTTCGAAAACGCACTATCGCAGAAAACGGTTGAAAAAAGTCTTAGTTCAGACTCTGGCTGTAGAACGGCCGTTATCAGAACTTGTTTCAAAAACGCAATACCCTTATGTAGGCAGCTGCGATAGGGCATTTTTGAACCATTTGCTGAGATAGGACGTTCTTCAGCCAGAGCCTGAACTAAGACCTGTCAAGAAGAGAAGTTCCGATCTGCGGCAGACACCGGTGGACCTCCGCGGTGCGGCTACATGGCGACCGCAAGTCAACGCAGGTTGATGCAGGCGAGATGAAGCCGAGAACCACCAGCGACGCGCAGAACGTTCCACATATCATGCGGGTGTCGTAGCCTCAATACCGACTTCTGTAGAGAGTGCGGCCGTAGCAGGATGAAGACAAGAGACTGCTACAGAAAGACGAAGGGAGGCGAGCAGGGGTCTCGCCAAGAGAGGAGTACGGAGACTGAAAGCACGACACGTCGCACTCACTAAGGGAGTTCCACCGCCAGCATGAAGCGACGAGGAGATTCATTAACGAAGCGATTGCCGAACAGTTTCCTCTATCTAAGGTCAAGATGGTGGAAAAAGAGTTATTTTGGGTGATGGCAGCCTAAAAATAGTACATTACGCTATAGATGCGACAGTCGGTCTGGGTGACCAAGTCCACGAACTTCCGTCAAAGGCACGCACAAGGCTACGATGAATTTTGTAGAAGCTATCTTGATTGTTGGATTCGCCCAAATTCCTAGAGCCCAATCAAGAAGGAGACGACACAACCGGCAAATGTGAGCTGACGCCTACTGCTCCTGTTCGTTGGTTCCAAGAACTGGTTTAAAGAGTAGAAGGGTTTCAAAAAATATGTCATATCATAAATAGCCCATTTGCAGTGCAGGCCTATGTGGCTTGAACCTATCCTTGAATCGAAACCTACCAAGTAAATATGTACCTATGTGCGCAGTTGTGACAACAGTATGAGAATTCTTCGTTATTTATATCAAATGGTACAGCAGTAAAAAATAAGGAGAAATGGATTATCCCAAAGCAAGTAAATGCACATTTATGTAAATTTATCATCCCAAAAGAAAAGAAATAAAGAAAAGAAATAGATTTAAAGAAAAAAAGAAGAAAAACCCATTAATTGCTGTTCAATTACAAAAATATTCATAAGATGAAAGAATTTTATATAAAACCATAAATAAATCGACAATCATCATTGAGCCATCATTGGTGTATGGATGTCCTTGAATAGCGCAATATTGAAGGAATACAAGTGATAATTTTACGATATTCGGCAAGCATTAAATCATTTGAGTAGTAGGCAGAAAAATAAATGAATAAGCAAACTACGAAAAATATGGGGAAATAACAAAAAAAAAAAAAATATAATGACAAAGTGGATCAAATTCAATCAATTGTCCGCAGGCAAATCCACACTCAATGACCGCAAATCGCTGGAGGAGCAGGAGGTGTGCGTTGCCAGCGCTGTAAGCATTTCCGCATTGTGGATTATAGCAATGACAACTTAACGATGCTGCTGGCTTTCATAAATTGTTTATGGTAATCAAATTACATTAGGTAATGTGTAATAAATGTGTCATGCTTGAACGGAAAGCTGGGAAAACGATTAGGGGGCTATCGATTAGATTGCTGCGAAATAATAAATACTCATACAAAAAGGAAAGCTTCTACAAGTTAATTGCTTACAGTTTTTTATATTCAAGAATAAGAATTTTTATTGCACCAGGATATTTATCAAAATGTCTTTATATACTAGATACTTATATTAGGTGTGTTCGTTGGATAAGTGTGGGAATTTAACGAGTTCTGTTTAATTTCACCGAAAGCTTATTGATGTTTGGATATATTTTATCATTAAACCATTCATGTGTACCCCAAAAATGGGCTTTGGTCATAAATTAAGGTATTTATCTGCAAAATAAATATTAGTTTAATTAAAGTAATTGCTGCAATTTTCGGTTTAAACTGAACCAAAATGAGAATTTTGATAGAAAATAGTAGGAATTCCATCACATGGGGGGACACATGTAAATAAGGTTTGACACGTATAGAAAAAATTTCGGAAAATCTTAGTTTTTTTTCAGGGACCCGGACTTTAATAACTTTTGTAATGAAAGTGGTTAGAAAAAAGTTAGTTTTGGAACTTAATTTAATTTGAACCAAAATAATCGGTCAACCAGGACGTTTATTTTTTTTTAGTTCAATAATAACTGTTAAACTTGGCCATCATTTTTGAATTTTGATATTTTTTTTAATTAAAACAAGCCATTTTTAAGCAAAAAACAAAACCGACTTCAATTCTCATATGAAAATTTAAGATTATCGTTAATTTCTTCATGATCTAATGATCGAATTTAAACCAAATAAGTATGGGAGGTAACAACTTTCCTTTAGAAAAAGAATTATGGAAATCGTTTTATGTGGTCCAAAGTTGTGTGGTAACATACATAAAAAAAAATAAAAATAAGAAACAAAAAAAAAATATTCCGACGAATTGATAATCTTCTCCTTTCTGCGAAGTCGATTAAAAATCTGGTATTTTCATATATTTTTTTTTTTTGTAAATTTTTTCTGTAAAATACATCCCTGTACGTTTGTACATTATTACCTGCTCCTGACATTATTTTATGATACTTAAAAAGAGGAAAAACGGTGGCACTTTTACTTGAAGAATTGTTGCTTATCAGGGAGCTCACCCCATACATACCTTCTCCTCGTGTTTGGCAGAGTTCTTCTTGGACACCCTGTATAAATAGGATATTTCTTTTTCAAAGCTATTTCAGTCCTCTTTCATTTGTCCGAGTGGACGTTTTTAGGCTTCTTTCTGATAAAAAAAATTGGTGTTAAAAAACATTTTTTTTTTTGATTTTTATAATAAAATACATACCGGGAGGTGTGTTCTTTTTTGGAATTTTTCTCTGGATTTGCCTTTGCACTTTTCTAACCTTAGCTATAGAAATTTTCGAGATTTTTTTTCGATTTCACATTTTTTTTGCAGCAACATCCGCCACGGAGAGGGTGGAGCCTTTAATGCTCAGTAAATTTATATAAGTATATATCTTTTTCGTATAGGTTTTATATCTTTTTTAAGTTTTCAGTTAAATAAAATTTCGCGATGGAATCTTGTTTTTGATGCAAATCTGAAAAAAAACGGATTCATTGTCTAAGATAAGTGTGCCACCACTTTCGACCAAGATAAGGAAATACAAAATTTAATTATGGTAAAAATAGAGAAAAAAATAACTCCAGATATATGGGCTTTCAAAGTTGATGGTCGTAGAATCGACTAGCGGTCGAATATGGGTTAAAAACACTAAAAGCTGGAAGATATCTCGTCTGAGTGCTCTTTTCCGCATGGGTTTCGTGTTCGTTGCTTTGATTGAACTCCAGGCTTTCGATTACCCACCGAAAGGCGACAAATGGAAAATTGCGTGCGATAATGCGAGTAAGTAATTAAACCAAATCAAAGCCAAATACATTATAGCTTCCATAATTCTAGGACAGTTCCGATTTTAATTATACAAATGGACACTAAAGGAGCGCCAATACATGCATCACACATCAATTGCATCGCGTTGCGGGCAAGCGCCAATTCAGTTTCACTCTACATGTCTAAAGCTCCGCATAGCTAGCTAAGCTATGCGCTTGCCACGTATTTTATTCAAGCCACGTAACATTTACCACTGTAATGCATTCTTCAATTACTTGCAATTCTTTGCCGCCTGTAATGGCTTCTACTACCAAAGAGGACGATACATTACAAACCGTTGGACAAAGGTGTATACAATCATCGTGCCAATTTTACTAATCGTCTGCATGGCGCTATGCTTACTGCAGCTGCTGCATGATCCGCTGGACAGTGAACGCATCTACGCCATGGATAAACTACTGCTGGCTATTTGCGTATTGGAACTACTAATTTCTACCTGTAGCTACTTGCTGATCGTCTCATCAATGCTGCGAAAAGTGCGCAGTCACATAGAGCTCTACGATCGCATCGATGCACTGGATCGCGAGTTAATGCGTGATTTTGGTGCAAATCTTAACTACCACAAATTGCTGCTGAAGAATCTCATTGAGATGATCGCACTGTTGCTTACCTACTGGACAGCTGTTTACCGCACAGTGGCATATGCGGCGCCAACTAGGAAAGCGTACGCATATGCCGCAGCTATGTTTTACTTGGCTTGCACCTTCGGACCGCATTCCATTTGCTTTTTGCATTCCAACTTAGCACAAATAATATACGTACGCTTTCGGCTTATACAAAAATTGCTTGACGCAAATTATTTGAGAACACATTTTCCACAACCGCAGCTGTGTGCAGCGCGTCTACAGAATCTCGTGGATATGGTGCTCGCTTTCCACAACGTAATTGATTCCATCAATGGGGTGTATCGCACCAGCTTGATGGTCGGGTTGACGCACGATTTCACGCTGGCCTCCACGGCGCTCTACCTGCTCTTCGGGCATTCTCTGGGCGGCAGTATTGATAGCCAACTTTTCGTATGTATCGCAATATGGCTATTGCTGCCGCTGCATAAAATCTTCAGTGCACCCGTTCATTGCGACAGCACAATAGAAGAGGTAGGTCAATGCAAGTGGAGGAGTGGCCCTCTGTGGATTTGTTGAATTAAATTGCATTTAGCTTAATAACTGTCGCTCATACATACTAGCTACATAGATAGTTTCTATGTACTGCTTTTCAGGGTAAACGTTGCCTGCGTCTAATCGAACAAATCGACGTCTGGTTCCCGAACTTCAAATCAGTCAAATTGATTGTAAACACCACAATGCATTGGCGACTGGAAAATAAAATCGAATTTGCTTGCGGCTTGAATATGATCTACAATCGCGCTATAATTGCAACGGTTGGTAGCGGCTGGAATTTTTTCAAAACTTGTTTTTTTTTCTGTTTCTTTTTCTCTTTTAGATTACGACAGTTATATTCAACTATTTACTCATACTCATACAATTTCGTATGACCCAGATAATGGGCGAACAAATCGAGGAACAGAAAAACATATTGCACGGTTGGATTTACGATTAGCTGTGCAAGTATAAACGTTTATGCATACTCATATCAATAACCATTTAAGAAAAAAAAAAAAAAAAACAATAGAAATGCATCAAAACTGCGTATGCGCTATGCGCTGAAAAATTGGTTTTATACATGAATTTACATTAGGGCGTTGCAGAAGAAAAGGTGTCGATATCAGGTACTCATGAAATTTAATGTGCCAACATCCGTAGATGGCTTCGAAAATCATAAAGGGATTCAGGTATACACATAAGGTCGTTAGGTTAGTCAGTTCGTCGATAGCAGTACGCGACTTTTTCATAACCACTTCGGGAATAGTTCATGAATATTTCAGGAATATTTCAGCATCATTCAGTGACTAATTTCGAAGTATCAAAATGATCCGAAACTAGTACCAAAATTGTTCTGAAGTTGTCCTGAAGTTGTTCAGAAAATTCCGGAGACTTGGTCCGAAATGATCTCGAACTAGTCTTAAATAGTCGTAAACTACCCACGAAATGGTCCTGAAATAGCATTGGGAAAATCCTGAAACTGTCCCGAAATGGTCCATAAATAGTCCCGAAACGATTCCTACTTGTTTTGAAATTGTCATAAATAGTCATAAGCAAGTCCTGAAACTGTCCTGAAATGGTCTTGAAATAGTCTCGAAATGATCCCGTACTTGTCCCGAAATGACTCAAAAGCAATTACAGATTTTCTGCTGGGTAATGCATATTTTAGCCATACATAAAAAATTTCAAGGTACATCCCTGAGTCTAAAGTATTTTTGTAGGGAAATTTCAAACAAGTTTTTTATTGACCGAATGTAGAGATCGCGCTTTTAAATTTTGGTGTAATACCTTAAGCATTTACTGTCGGTTCTTAAAGTACGAGTAGGACATTTTTTTGTACCATAATTCATTGACCTCAAGTGCCTCGTTCTGTTACTTATCTTAATATCTATAAATTAAAGCGCAGCAAAAATTATGTTTAAGAAAAGAATGGGTTTATTGCCGAATGTAGGTGTCACCGAATAATATAAAAAAAGCGGCCCTGGGATCGTCTAAGAAAATGTTTTTCCAATATTGTCTTGCAAAAATTCTCTAATTTTTTGTTTGCATGTAAGGTGGTGCGATCTAATGTATACAAATATGTATATGTAGGGTAGGGCGGGTCAGTTTGTATGAGAGATTTTTTCGACTATGCGGTTATAGCACAGAATGATTCTACGTGTAATTCTAAGCAAATTTATCGATGAAATCATGGGTCTAAAATCAATTTAGAGTTTGCCAAATTGCGAAAATAGGTTTCTTAGCATTTTGCTGTAGTGTCGTAAATAAATGTTTAAATTTTTTATAAAAACATGCTAAAAGGATTTTTTTATGAGAAATCGATGCATTTCTGCACTTATCTGTTTCTTAAAATATCCACCAGAGGGCGCAAAAGTGAAAACTTTCATATTTTCTTCGAAACCTATTGACTTTAGAACCATAGTTTCTTCGGAAAATTTGCTAAGAATTACACGTAGAATCATTCTGTGCTATGCGCGTATAAAAAAAAAATTTACCCGCCCTAATGTAGTGTGTACTTTAAAGATATTAACATTTAAACTTTGCAAGGGCACCCTTTTATTTTGTTGTAAGAGCAAAGCAAAGACTTTCACAAAAATTTCAAATTAAAAAAAATTTTAGTAGTCGCTTTTCCTCATAAGGCTAACATTACAATCCAAATGTTTAAAACGTTTTTTTCTCGAATTCAGGGTTTTCCACTTAGGCGGTTATTGCTTATGACCACAAATACATATGCTTGTTCGTAAGAGCTAAAAAGTATGTATTGATTTCTTTTTTCCAATAGCACTATATGCAATTCATTAAAATTCGCAGCTTCGACCAAAGCAGTGATAAAAAGTTTGTGGACTTTTTCCGTTTGCATTGAGTAATTGACTATTACGGAAAGCAGTTTCTAATGACTGAAATTTCAATTGGAAAAAATCCATTTGCTCGTTTGCATATTTGTATGCCCGTTGGAATAGTTAGTTTTGTCAACAACCGCAAGTTAAATGGTGAAAAAATATACTCTGAAAGTTTATTTGGAGTGCAGCGCTCTCTAAAAATGTATGAATGTACATAAGTATATACATACTATGTACATAACTGTATGAGTGCTATTGGGTTGAGGGAACAAAAACAGCTAATAACTTGTGACCAGACATTTTGGTGCCATTGAGCGCTTTTTAAGCTTACTACTTAAAGCGAACCAAAAATGAAATGGATATAGAGTCATATAAGAGCCAGGATAAAGCAAATAATCTGGAAACTACACTAACGTCCTTTATTAGAAAGTGCTTCTGAGAACTTTAATTCAGAGATATATCCAAAGGTATTACCACGTTTTTTCTAACAAACTTTATATCTTACTAATTTCAAAGAGATTTTTTTTTTTGTATGAAGTTACTGTGCTCAAACTTTACACCCGTTCCCATGTGTTTTTCTTTAATTATCTGTGTACGAAATAAAGGTATGTAACTGAGAGAACAACCCAATGTTAGCTCAGTTTTTTTATTATATAGTTGTATTTTTAAGTTCCTTTCAAAGCTGGATGCATCTCTGAGGAAGTGGGGTAAATTTCGACAATTAATTTTCTGCGTCTATAAATTTTGACAACTTAATAAACATTGAACCATTTGAATGATTCGATGCGTTGAGACAACTCAATAAACATAGATACCGCGATAAATTTCGATAACTATACTTTTTAAATGGCGATTTTAGCCGAAATTTTCAAGCAATTTTAAAACCTTCGAAACTTTCCTCATCTACAGAAAATTGCCTTTGCAATAGTGTTCTTGGGTTTGAAATCAGTTCGGTAGAATCTTGAAAATTAAATCAGTTATTCCACCCTGTTTGACAGACATTGAGAGCAGAGAAAAAACACGTAAATTTGGAAAACAATTTAAAAAATCAATTTTATTACCAGTTTCTAAAGTTGAAGATGTAAAGACTTGCGCCTTCATTGAGGACGTTTAAGAAACCCGAAGTTTAGTAGGGCCACAAATTTGGAAAAAAAACCTTGGAGTTAAATGAGAGAAGACTTAGCAATATTAAAAAAGGAAACTCTTTTTTATCGAGTGCAATTTATTTTATTAAAAAACTCACTTAACTATCAAATTGCACTAATAACTGCGAGAGTTTAAAGTAAAGCGTGTTTCTACATATATGGTACCTATGTAGATACTGTACACAAATAAATCTGCGCATACAATTATAATATGTAACAGCTTGTGTGACAAAATTTGATCAAAACAAAACATACAAGCATATCGACCACAGAGACTTAAGGCTTAAGTCAAATTTAAATCTACTTGTCATAAATTGATTTAATAAGAGCGTTCCTACATACATATGTACATACAAAGGCACGTACACCGCCGGCAAAAAGTATTGGCACAGCAAATTGTTCACAATATATGCAAAATTTTTTTTTTCTAATATTTTTCCGCCAATTTTTTATAAAAATATGGTTCGTTCTACAACAAAAACCATCAAAATATAATTCTTAAACTTTGTGCAAAACTCACGAAAATTCAGCAAATTTTCAACTTTTTAATCAGATTTTTTAGAATTTTTTTGAGTATGCAGATTTGTAGCACAATCAATTTTATTAAAATAAAGTGCAAATTTTAAGTGGGTAGGAATTCCCGTTTTTGAAAATTTTTTTTCACGCACGCTTCCATACAAAAAAAAACTTTTCAAAAATACTTTATATGGAAAAATCGTAAAACATCTTCAACAAAAAAAAAAATTTTCAAAAACCAATGCGATTTTTGACTAACTCTGAGCTTGCATTCCAAAAAAACTTATTAAAAATTTGAAAATTTGCATGCAAGTGTGCTGAATTTTCGCGAGTTTTGCACAAAGTTTTGGAATTCTATTTTTATGTTTTTTGTTGTAGAATGAACCATATTTTAATAAAAAATTGGCGGAAAAAATTATAAAAAAAAATTCTTGCATATATTGTGAAAGCCTTGCAGTGCCAATACTTTTTGCCGGCAGTGTACGTGTCTTGAATTGACTTTATTTATTAATTAATAATGTTTGGAATTTCGGAATCCGAGTTGATTAAATGCACAGTTGTAACACCTTAGCTCATTTACTATTTAAATTGCTTTCACTTAAAAGCTCAAGAGATGGACTTCGTGCTGCGTAAAGAACGTACATATGAATGTTTGGTTAAGACCAAATTAATTTTGCGCAAATTTAAATTGCAACTACTTTTAGATGGACTAATTTGATGTAGTGCTTGAGTGGGCGCTCAAATAAAAATCGAATTACTTAAAAGCAGGTACCTAATTTAAATTAACATTTTTTAGCATTCGTATTTGTATTTTGTCCTGTTCTGAAACTGTGTTTAATTAATATAAACTTAAAAAATTCGTAAATCTTCAAATGGTGGTCACAGTCTTGCACACCCACTGCATAATAGGTATATTAATTATAAATTTTCGGTATCTGGTAAATATATGCTTTCACAAATCATCACAGTTCAGTGCCGATAAAAATTCAGGCGCACTCAGAATATAGAAATTCGTACTCGTATTTTCGTAAGAACATAAAAATCGTGCAATCCTCTTACTCCTTCAACATATATATCCTTGTGACTAGCGAACATTGCTAGCGCCTGCCAGCCTGCAGCGTAGACATCCGACGACGCTATCAGCCTGTGGCCATCTGCTGCACGCGTTGTGGCTGTAACTAATGAATTTTTTTTTAGTTTACTTGGGCGGCATTTCCACTTCGGTCTCCGTTGTAAAAAGACAATGTTTTTTATACATATGTATGTATGTATGTACATATTTATATATTACTTTGTTACTTTACATACCTGCCTCCTCTGCCGCCTTTAGCGCTGTTGCGCTATTTATCGCAACTTTATGCAGTTGAAGGACATTTCATTAGAAATTTATGCAAATTACCAACATTAGTGCATATTTATTAACTATCATCGGAACAGCGAAGCCGCAGCAGTGGGTG